TCATGTTACTCTGTTGTTCAACTACCAAATATGTTTTTGTTTTTGGAGATACTAAAGGTCCCGTAGTAGTCGAAATTCGACTATAATTAATTGGAATTGTAAGTTTGTACACTGTTATGATTGTATTTTATACTTCTATAATCACAAATTTCGCCAAGACTACTCTATAAAAATATTAACAAAGACAAATAATATTTAATCTATTCTCAATTTGACAACAGACGTCAAGAACAAAAGCTTGACAATAAATAGTATGCATGCGTGTGTGCGTCAAATACATGGTATGTAGTGTGTGTAATGTTTTATTTAATCGATTTAATGTATCTTTTATGCATTATTTTAAAAAAATATTAGCGTTGTGCACTTCTAATGTCCGCGCAATTTTTGTAAAAAGGGATACAAAGTTTTTGCTTCACGTATTAATATATAGATATCATATCGATCAAAACTTGTAGAGACCACGTTTTGTACCTGTGTTCGTTTTAATATATTTTTATTAAATTTATGATCGGGCGTGTATGTTGCCTAACTAAAGAGAGTGTGATAAATATGAGTAGGTAAATACGATGCTACACGCAATCGATTATTGTTAAAATATTATTAAGCGACCCTGGGAAGAATATAAATTTATAACTAAAGTACATACCTCCTCCTTGTGTCGATAATCCTCATGACAAGGGTCGTGGCCTCATGAGGCTTTCTTGAGAAAATACACATGGCTTGGTACGCATACGTACGGCAGTGCTTTTGGAAGAGATTTGCGCACCCTCTACGCAACTGTCGTCAGTGTTGGGCCCTTAATAATTGTTTCTTAAAAAAATCATCCATATAGAATCTTNCTAACTAAAGTACATACCTCCTCCTTGTGTCGATAATCCTCATGACAAGGGTCGTGGCCTCATGAGGCTTTCTTGAGAAAATACACATGGCTTGGTACGCATACGTACGGCAGTGCTTTTGGAAGAGATTTGCGCACCCTCTACGCAACTGTCGTCAGTGTTGGGCCCTTAATAATTGTTTCTTAAAAAAATCATCCATATAGAATCTTAAAATTGCAGTGCTAAACTTAACTGAACGCTTTGTTGGTCACGCTATGTTTCAAAAATAATTCTTTCAAGTAGTTTTTGTCATAAATCGTACTCAACACGTCTCGCACAATTTTCGTACTTTCAGAAATTGTTTTATGATCGGATGACAAGAAACACTCTCTTTGATGCACTCGTTGCCGATGCAATTATGTCGATCGTTTTTATCGATTCATCGATTGCTCTCAATGTTAATCGTGCGATTGCGGTCTCTGAACGATTTATCGATGCGAACCGAATAAATGTCGATTTTACACATTCGTTTTCATTTTCGCTTTATTATTTAACTATAACTATTTTGAAAAAAAAAAGGGTGCGTGTACTTATGTACGCGCGTAAGAGTTATACTTTATTTTTAGTAAATTTATTTCTTTTTTTATTTAAATATTATATAATTAATAATAAATATTTAACATTAATAATTTAATAATATTTAGTATGAATTATATTAAATAATAATTTTGTCATTTATATTACTAAAAAATGAATGCTAATAACACTTTTTTTTACGAGTGTACATGCGCGAAAGTTCACCTGCGGCTATATTCAGACTCGCCAAGTTACGTCGGTCGTATTGTAATGAGCGATTTAGTGGGCAACTTCATTCTGTTAATTTTGTGTCACGGTGCGCGGGCATCGTAAAATTTCACTCTCATCAATTTTTCATAACGCGCCTAAAGAAGTATAACTTCAATAAATACTTGATTTTATTAATTAATATACAAGCTATTGTAAATACACACGTTATAGTAAAAAACGAGGTACCATAATCAACACTTTTGTACTAGCTAGTAAAATGAGCAGTGTCATTGTGAACAGCGTAAAAAAAAATGAAAATTTTCTGTCTTTTTTAAGTCTAGTAATTGACTTCTTGGAATGTCATTCAATTGTGAATCCAGCGACTTTGTTTCATTTTAACACACTTGTGCACTATCACAGATGCTAAACGGCTAATAACCCACCATTAGCTTACCTAAGAATTACACGTTTAAACCTGAGAGACCATGTCAGCGTCACCGGGCTACTAGCTCACGGGGCTCAAACCTGACGATGTTGCTAACACGAACCCTAGCAAGAGCCGTGCTTCGCAGAATCTACCATCGGATCGGAAACGCGACCCACTGAGAAGATCCAGCGAGAAACTCAGTTGGCTGTGTCTGCGGGTTAATTTACTCGCCTAGCCCTTCGTAGCAAGCGACGAGTTCGACGATCGAACTATTATAATAATATTTTGCCAAGTAAAGCCGCCGTCTCCCAAAACATCTCTTGTTGGATTCTCCGGATCCACTCTCAGTGCTTTTAGACTCTTCAAGCACCAGTCACCGTCCTTCGACGTGTGAACTAACCCATAATAGTAGATTCAGCGAAGCACTGCTCTTACTAGTATTACCAGTTCCCTTAGCTTGAGCCCGTGAGCTCATCTACCGGTAGGCGTGAAGTTGGAATAGCCCTTTAAAAAAATATATATAATTATAGTTGAGCAATGTGTGTGTAGATGACCTACATGTCAATTAAGGCACAGTAATACAAATGTTAATATACCCATACAAATTCATGAACGTAAATAGCAAATACACTTGAATGCAAATGTACACACATACACAATGTAAATGACAATATTGTTGAACAATGATTAAGAAGTTGAAGAAAGATATTTTTTTTGTCTCTGTAATTAAAAAAAGAATCTGAGATAACAAACAGTTCGTAAGGCTAGGTTAAACTACCACTTATCAGCTACTTATCAAATATTGAATACATTTTAGTAAGTACATAAATCATAATAAGTATCATATCAAAAATAATTCTCCTAACAAACTAATGTGTTCACAAAACAGGCTCGTGTACACAATATCCGCTTATTAACTCTATGTTTTATTATTTATTGCGATTGAACTGCTTTAAAACATGCAATATTCATGGTTCAGTATTGTCTACTTAATCCACATCTGTTGTTTTTCAGATGATGGTAGTTCAGATATTTTTGATAATGCCATAAAGCCCAAAATAATACTTTGCTACTTTCTAAAGATTTACGAATTCATCCTTTTTTGTGATTGAGGAGTACTGATGGCCCGTAGGCCTTTTCAGGTTCACCAGGACAGGTGGGCGAGCACGAGCTCAGCCAGGAGGGGTGGAATTTGCTAACATCTACTTGAGCATCTCCAAAGGAGACCTAACAACTGAAGAACAGCTGTTTCGCGAATGAAACTACTACTGAATCGTAATCGCGACCCGCTGAGAAAATGTGGCGAGATACTCAGCGGGCTAATGTCGGGCGGGTTAGGTCGCACCTCGAATTCTTAGCCGAGTTCGACGAGTACGATTACCGGGGTCCCTAAGTCTGCTCCTAGTGTTAGGGCTGAAAGCGTCTAATGCAAGAGCTATTGAATCTTATGGATCTGTAAGAACATCTAGGGCGTCGACGGTGACTGACTCCTGCGTGATCAGGATTTGGGGAGTAGTCTACCTTTTAAACCTTCTATGGACTTCCACAAATAATTCAAAACAAAATTAGCCAAATCGGTCCAGCGATTCTCGATTATTAGCGAGACTAACGAACTGCAATTCATTTTTATATATATTGATTGCAATGACCCGCCGGCAATGATTGCAACGCCGGATATTAACGGCTATAATAAAGGCGACAGTGTGCTCGCTAGTTCGTGATTTTACGTACAAATGATTCAAGTACAAATCGACTGATAGTTCAAGAACGAGTATAGTGAGAAAAAAAAAATTACCACCACTATCTGACACCAGACAACTGCAACGTGTTTCATTCTTTCCGAATTACAAATTAGGCGCGGCTAAAGCCGTGGGCCACGTTTAGCAAAATTAACAATAGTGTGTTTTATTATGTTACGCTTTCACGTCTCAACTTCTCAACCGATCATAATAAAATCATGCATAAGCGTAATCAATTCAGAAAAAAGCTTAAGATAGTTTCTAACCACAAAAAGGACTTTTCGCAAGGCATATTTCCACTCAAGCTAACACGAGTAAAGCCGCATGTTAAAAGATTAAGGTCGGTATCTTTGAACGATAATAGCCTCGAACCAACAAATTGAAAGAGGACAAAAATAAAAGATATATTGATGAAGCCCTGGAAAAGGGACAGATTGTAGTAAAATACATTGATGGTGAACTCAACTTACTACCATCTATTGCTGTCTATTTTCGGTCGCAAAACAATTGTGTGTTCCACGTTCCTCTGGTTTTAAGGTAGATTCAGAATAAAATACAGTTCCAATACGAGGAGACCTATTATTACCCTGTTGTGATTTCAATCTGCGGTAGCCTGATTGTATACGAGCTCAACCGCCTAATTCAAACTGGGATTTTGCGCGCTCAGACATTCATTGTACTCCCACTTTTACTTAAGCCCAAAAACGAGGTATTGTTGGATGCCACGTAATTTTGCAACACTTTAAATTACACATTAATGCCGCAATTGCTCATAATAAGAGCTCTGTGGTCAAAAATTAAATAAATTGTAAGCCGCTACCTGTGGGCTGTCTAATTTAGGCGTGAAGTAAAACCCCATAATTACTTTTCATTTTAAAAAAATAAACGAGAAACGCATACGTTATATTGCCATCGCCTTATTTGTTGCTTTTAGATCAATTTTAATGAAATGCAAGAAATCTAAAGACAAACAGATGTTATACAAACAAAAAATATTATAGAGTAGTCATACAATCAATACTATGACCTCATGTCTCAGAGTGGTTGCTGGTATTCACGTTGTGATGTCTATGGCCCCCAATAACCAGAGAGTCGTGAACTCAACCATGTATGTACATATATCATTCATTATTTAAGCATACGGTACCCTGCAATTTTAACTGAAAACACGCTTAGATTGTCACCGTGCACGTAAGAAAAAATTTAAAGTCACCATTGCCACCAGGGACATTCACAATGCAACACAACAATGTGTGGCAGAAACAGCGGAAAAGACCATCGAATACCAGAAAGATCAATCTGGAGACGCTAATGAGAAGAAGTTTTGTTAAAGTTTTGAAGGAATATGTAAAAGAATCTTCTATTGGTGGTATCAAGGAGATCTGTAGCCCCAACATCGGATGGAGAGAACGGTTAGATTGCAAATTTTTTTTCACAGGATTATAATATTCTACTCGAGATACATCGATATCGTTTAGCTCAAGCATTTAATTAATCTGTGCCAATCCAACAATCAAGCAATATATTTCATCCCATATTGACATTCAACAAGTGTGTTATACTGACATCTAGGTTGAAATAAATGATTTTGAATTTGAATTTCAATTTGAACATATCATCTCATCTCATTTCATTTAATTTCATCCCAGTTGATATAAATTAAAATAAGACTTGACCTAAGGGCCTTAGTTATTAGGTCATAAAATACCTTTAAAAAAAAAGCAATCTCTGTCATACATGCTTTACCTATTGGGCCCAATTTCGATAATACTACAGATCAATCACCTTCAACAGTCAACGTTAGGAAAGATAAATTTACATGACCAGTACGAAATTACGATATAACAGGTGCTGGAGATTAAAAAAGCTTCAATACTAAAAGTACAAGACGTATTTTAATATAGTTTAAAAAAAAACCTCTTACCTGTTTTTCTTCATGATTTAACTATATTGAAAAGCTGAATAGTGAAGCAGTGGTAAAAAGAATGTGTTAATGCTAACAACATAACTATACATCGCTATAATATGAGATAACAAAAACATTACCTTCACACGTCACGTCAGTTCAACCTATTGTGACCATGAAGCAAACATGCATATCGTTTTAAGCTTTCGCGGCTATCAATATCATAAATACTATTATTTTAAGGGTTCTTATCCAATTTTTTTGCGAGCTCTCATTATTTTAGAGCTATTGCAATCGCCATGATCACGTGTAGACTTTTTTCCCTACCTAATCGTTGATGGCCTAAAGGGCTATTCTTATTATTCACGGACCGGTAGATGAGCTCACAAGTTCAACCTGAGAGAATTGCTAACACTGATCCTAGCCAGAGCAGTGAATTCGCTGAATTCTTTCTTTCTGGTACCTGTAACACAAGTTCTTTACGAACTTAGCACGGGACCAGTTAACGTGGCGTGATCGTAAGTAAATATATATTTATTTATTATAAAAAAAAGAATCTACCACCGGATCGGAATCGCAGGTAGACTGACGACTGCAGGTAGGACCTTGGAAGCAAAGAAATCGGTCTACCCTCTTTCTTATTTTTGGATACTATCCCTGGAACTCAACGTCTCGTTTAGAATTTTTTTAGGACCATTTTAAAACACTTTGTGTTTACTAAACCTATCATTAAATCCACTCATATAACCTGAAACAATCATCCTGGTTGAAGCTCATTTATTTAAATATTTCAATTCCTTAATTGACCAGTCTCGGTATACAGTGGCATTCATTAGAGAATATCTTTAGCCTGTTCTATAAAACCAAAAAAATCATGGTTAGGACCCGTGAAATAACGGCGTTGTCTCTCACTCGAACACGATTCATACTTCGGTTCGTGTTTCAAGGTAAGTTAAGGTAAGGTAAGTTTTCTGGTGGTAGGACCTCTTGTAAGTCCGCACGGGTAGGTACCACCGCCCCGCCTATCTCTGCCGTAAAGCAGTAATGCGTTTCGGTTTAAAGGGTGGGGCAGCCGTTGTGACAATACTGAGACCTTAGAACTATACCTCAAGGTTTGTGGCGCATTTACGTTGTAGATGTCTATGGGCTCCAGTAACCACTTAACACCAGGTGGGCTGTGAACTCGTCCACACATCTAAGCAATAAAAAAAAAGTATCGATTCAGATGGGCATCAAACTTGTCTGCCTATCGAAGCTACTGCAAATTATGGAGCTCTAATTTTCAGACTTCTCTGGATTGGAGTTTTTGTGATTATGATGAGCGCGATGTTTTACTATCTCCACCACACGTGGTTTGAGATATTGACAAAACCCCTGGTTATCAGCATGGAGTCTTCTACCTATCCCATATCAAAAATCAACTTTCCTGCTGTAGCCTTTTGTAATACGAACAGAATAAGCAGAAAGGCTTTGAAAGAATTTTCTCAGATAATGTAAGTTTTGGTATAGCAATTAAGTAGGATGAATTTCAAATTATAAAAAAGGAATTATTTTATAATTCAAAAGTAAACATTCACACATTCATTAAATATTCACGCTGCTGATTAACCCTCATATCATATTTCATTTACATTACCCGGTGTTTAATATTGCATATAGACCTTTGGTTACCTATGTGACGTTTGTGAATCGTGCAATCGGACGGTTAGTTTATTGTTTCGTGCGACAGAGATAATACTCTACGAAGCCGAAATTAGCCGAATGTTTCTTTCCAAAGGTCGATGTGCAATATTTATGGCCGGGTATTGTAACAAAACTATGGATGATCAATAACTCATTTTATAAGAATGTATTGAACCTTGCAATTGTACTTAATAGAAATCACTTTCCGCTTTTACTACTTACTGTCGATTTCTTTTAAAATAAAGCTTAGTGATAAGCAGCGGTTTGCATAATAAATGTGGTAATTACTAACCACCAAATTTTGAAAGCTATCAAAATACGGCTTAAGTATATATTAAAATAGAAAGACCAGACCTTGATATTATTTCTGTGAGAAAGACATATAACTTTTAAAATTTAACAACCAGGCATAGGAGCATGGCGTTAAATAACGAAACAATAGAAGAAGTTGAACTTTTCTTTTTACAATATGGCCGCCTTCTAGATTATTCGTATGATGATATCTTAAGAAATCACCCCTTTTTGGATATAATAACGCTCAAAGATTTCTATTCACAAAATACATCGGAAGTCATGCAAAAGGTTTGTATCAGCAAATGAATTTTTTGACAAACTTTACTGTTGCCTAATTATTTTAGAGATAAAACCCTAAACAATTCTAAGCATGATCTCGTATAGAATAAACAAATATTGTTTGATTCTAGTAAATGACAGCCGTAAACGTAACACGATCGCTACTTAAGATTACCAAAGTGCTTGCATTATTACAGTTGGCTCCGAAATGCGACGAAATGCTACTCAGATGCGGATGGGGCAGCGAAGAAGTTAATTGCAAAACTAATTTTGACGTCCAATTGACGGTCAGGGGACATTGTTGTATATTCAACTATATTCAGGAAGACTCTGTCGATGAGTATGTATAAGATTATTGGACTGCTTAATAATTATAATCGCATTTACGCTTTGTATTCCTGAGCTAGCTCCTGTCTAGCTTAGGGTAGTAAAAACATCTTCTTCAAATGAATTAGCGTCGATAGAGGTAGAAAAAATTAATGAATTTTATGCGCAACTGTGTTATCTGCCGCTGATATCAAGGTATTGTGTTTTAAAGTAAGCTTGTTTACGTTTGTAGTAGACTCTTGAGACTTCAATGGCAGCAGGTGAATCAGGAACTGAAAAATCATCAAAGCCTGTTTGTCATTCTATTTTTATTTATTTATTTATTATGTACACACAAAAAAGAAGACACAGTACACAGTAATAGGAAAATTATGTACAAAGGCACTGCTTATTTCTTTAAGAAGTCTCTTCCAGCAGATCTGCGAGAGGATTATGAGAATAGTATCTATTTTATTTATATATATATTATACCTATTTATTATTTATATTTTAGTTTCTTTCTTAGTTTAGTTTCTGTAGCGAACTTTAGTATTATCCAAATAAATATATGAAATCGTATAATATTAACAATAAAAAAAAACTTAGGTGCCTTTTCTGTTTTGTTTAACAATTTTTTTTTATTTTTTATTTAGTAGATATTGACGTGTTTCAAAACGTGTTAAAAATTAACAAAATTAAAGAGAGATAGATTTAATTCAAATCTTTAGATTACTTTATGATCGAATTTCTATCATCGGTCGAACACGAGTAGGCATATACCGGTCACCGTCCTTAGTCAGCGAATTAACCCACAGACACAGCCCACTGAGTTTCTCGCCGGATCTTCTCAGTGGATTGCGTTTCCGATCCAGTGGTAGATTCTGCGAAGCACTGCTCTTGCCAGGGTCAGTGTTAGCAACACTCCGGTTTGAGCCCCGTGAGCTCATCTACTAGTTAAGGTTACGCTGATATAGCCTCTCAAGGCTATCAGCTTAGGTAGGAAAAAAAAAGTAGACAGTGCAGGCAAAAGTAGGGGGTTTTATTTAATTGACGTAATGCATATTTAGTGAAATGTTATAGTGATTTGTGTTGTGAAATGTGAATGTGTGTTATAGTCTAAATTCAGCTAACAAGGACGTCAAACGGCAGTCCGTACCGGGAGCACTCTATGGATTACGTTTGGTTCTTGACCCGATGATTGATGACTACGCCTATACCGTAAACAACATACGAGGATTTGATGTAAGTATTTCATTCACATCCAAGTAAACATCCAGGCCACTCGACTTGAATATTAGGATACTTACCGAAAATATTTCGACCTCATAATCTAAGGTGATACTTAGGTACTTCAAACATGATAGGCTTGAGCTCATCTGACTAGTTATCCTTAGAGCTATGTATATTATCTAAAGTTCCCTTAATGTCTATTACATAGTGCCAAAAATCCCCGATAAAAATGACTATGACGTATAGGCAGACACAACGGAGTTGCGTTTGTTGACATTGAGCCACGGAGCTCTATGAAATAATCTATACTATCTATACTAATATTATAAAGAGGAAAGATTTGTTTGTTTGTTTGTATTGAATAGGCCCCGAAACTACTGAACCGATTTGAATAATTCTTTCACTGTTTGGAAGCTACAGTATTCCCGAGTGACATAGGATATAATCTTTTTTGAAAAAATTAGGGCTCTTTACTAAAACTATAATAATGTAACCCAAGGTGTAAAAAAGTTACCTAAAATATTCTTTACATCGCGTGACCTGAAAATAATGTACTATGATTTTGTAGAAAACATGATTAATTACTAAAAGTGTCGCGACAGCATATGTCTAACTATTGTAGTTATGTCGCAATAAGGGTTATTTTATTTAAAAAAATAAAACAACGTCCCGAGCGGAGCCGGTGCGGGCCACTAGTACTACATATTTTCAAATAACAATTTCTCATGTAGGTTTTTCTGTTTTCCCCCGGTCATTTCGCCGATTTTAGCGGGGGCAAAGTGATTTATCGCATAGTGGAGCCTGACAGAGCAGAGTTCATTGAACTATCTTCTATACAACAAAGAGCTGCTGCCGAGGTCCGGAAATATCCTGTTCGGATTGTAAGTTATTACTTACTGAATTCACAATATTAACAAGGCTTCGTTTCGTCTACCGTATTGGTAGGCAGCGGCTTGGCTCTGCCCCTGGCATTGCTGAAGTCCATGGGCGACGGTAACCACTCACCATCAGGTGGATCGTATGCTCGTCTGCCTACAAAGGCAATAAAAAAAATACTTCAACTATCAACAACTAATTAAATTTCAAACAAAGTCCTCAGCGTCAATAGCGACGATATACTGTTTAGTGGATATGAGCCTTCAAACCGATACTTCAACTTTTGATTGATTTCCCGTTCCCGTCCGCGAAGCCGAAGATAGAATAGCCTTTTAGACTACTAGCGAATATCTAGGAAAAAAAATGTAGCTTCCCTGTACAAATGGATGGACAAATTAACGTTTTAAAANTAAATTTCAAACAAAGTCCTCAGCGTCAATAGCGACGATATACTGTTTAGTGGATATGAGCCTTCAAACCGATACTTCAACTTTTGATTGATTTCCCGTTCCCGTCCGCGAAGCCGAAGATAGAATAGCCTTTTAGACTACTAGCGAATATCTAGGAAAAAAAATGTAGCTTCCCTGTACAAATGGATGGACAAATTAACGTTTTAAAATGACTAAAAATCACTTGGGTCACATACAGGTATTTTAATTGAATTGTCACCAAAATATACTTGTTGAATTTCCAAACCTGCAGTCTCTATCAATGGTTTCAAAGAAAAGCCACAGTCCTGAAAAGAACTCTACTCCTCCTTGCGTCGTATTCCTCATTGCTGAGGGTCGTGACCACCCTTTTGTATCACCTTCACACGCACGATCTTTCTCCATCCAGTCTTGTCTCTGACGGTATGGAGGGCGTTGTGAAACGTGGAATCAAGAGCGGTGCGGATCTGGTCGGACCAACGTATTGGGCTGCGCCCCCGAGGTCTTTTCCCATCTACCTTACCAGTCACGATAAGCCTCTCGAGATTGCTACCATCCTTCCGTGCAAAGAAAAGTACTCTACGACATCTCTCTTTTCCGTGAAAAGAACTCTACGACATCATTTTTTTAAACTAAATACATTGTTATTTAAAAACCACAGAATTGTAACAGAACGGAAGACAATATTTTTTTTTTTATTATAAGAATGCGTTCATTAGCGCATTACTCCATTGAGTACCAAAAGTGGCGTTCAAAAAAATTAACTTATAAATATTTTACATTACATTTTAGAGAAAATGTTTTTTCCAAGACGAGAACGGTTCTTCACACAGGAAAACTTATACATACAACTATTGTATAATTAATTGTCGCATTAAGTCCATACAGTCGCTTTGTAAATGCACTCCTTACTTTTTGCCCGGTAAAGATAGGGCACGTACATGTACACTAGAAGATTTAAAATGCCTTAATAAATATAGGGGTGAGTAAACATTTGCTCTAACCGTTAAAAATGTATAAATATATTTTAGTAATAGGAAATATCTACGGGCAAATTTAAAACTCATTCGCGTTCCAACTCTTTTTTTTTATTGCTTAGGTGGGTGGTTAAGTGGCTACTGGAGCCCATAGACATGCGCCACCCACCTTGAGATGTAAGTTCTAAGGTCTCAGTATAGTTACAACGGCTGCCCTACCCTTTAAACCGAAACGCATTACTGCTTCACGGCAGAAATAGGCGGGGTGGTGTTACCTACCCGTCAACACAAGAGGTCCTACCACCAGTATGTTACAGGACCCTTCGAATAGGAGCGTCTAGAATTGTGGTGCTTTTTGTTGCCAATTAGGCCGCCCAGGCGGTGCCGCTGGTGTTCCGGGATGCCCCACTAAACCATAATCAGCCGGTGAAATCGGAACGCCATAAACCGCCAACCGGTAACTTTTCAATATCAACTGTGCTATACAGGTAGCGCGGCACGGCATCATCCCCTGTGGCCGCTAAGCCTTCAACGGGGGAAACCACTTCCTACAAGAATTGTGGTAACGGGTTATTAATTTTTTCCAGCATAATAATAATAAATTATTTATCCAGAAAAACTTCTCTACTTGTACCCAAATGACGCCCAGGATCTTCGCGGACTTGAAACGGAAGTGGAAGATTCCCTTTTCTGTCCCAATTGCCTACCCGATTGTGAACCTATACAGCACTATGCCAAATCTTACAAGATATCTATAAATACAATTGAAGAGCACTTTGTACCATTCAGGAGTGATATGTTGTAAGTAAAAACATAATCTACTCTAGTTCGATCGGACTCAATTTTAACTAGTGGAACAGAGACCGTTACTCTGTCATTCTACTAGAACCTTTTTTTTATTTTTTTATTTTCCACCTGTACTGATAGCCATGAGAGGCTATTTCAGCTTCTCCTTGACGTGTAGGTGAGCTCACGGGGCTCAAACCGGAGTGTCGCTAACATTGGCCCTAGCAAGATCAGTGCTTCGCAGAATCTACCACCGGATCGGAAACGCGACCCACTAAGAAGATCCGGCGAGAAACTCAGCGGGCTGTGTCTGAGTTAATTTACTCGTCGAGCCCTTCTTCGCAAGCGACGGGTTCGGCGATGACGGTGATCGGTGCTTGAGGCATGAGGTACCTAAAAGCACCGTTAATGGTTCGGGAGGATCCGTAATGATGTGCTTAGGGCAACTAGAACCAATGATCTGCTCAAAACGTCAGTTCTCAAAAATTATATATCAAGTCCGTTTTAGTTTAATTAATAACGCAATTTCGATCCTGAACACAGCCAATTGATAATGCAGACGATTAATTTTATAAATTTTGATATGGCCAATGGTTCTCGAAAATAATATCATTCACCACGATCACAGCTTCGATCTTATAACTCTGGTCCATGGCCGCCTAGATTGTATATTCAGATTACGCTAATTGGAGGCAAGCTCTGTAGACTACTTATTTATTTTGGATGTAAAGAAGTTGACATTCCGGAACTACCTACTACTGATTTTATTTCAATTCAAATTGATAGCGATACATGCACTAAATCAAATAAGCTCACAATAACCATATTTTATTCATTGAATAATATTACAATTGGTGTTAACTATAGGCACCTACCACAAACTTTAAGCAGTTGGAAATTACTTTGTTTCAGTGACAAAATAAACATCACCGGAAAAATCCTAGTTAGCATTTATCATTCTGCACCCACCGGGACCTTGGATCGCCTTGATGTCGTTTCGTATTGGTTCGAAATATTAAGTAAGAACATTGCTTTTTTTTACTATTCTCGGTTATACGTAGTACTTGCACTAGCTACGTATTCTTAACGTTAATAGTAACGTTATAACGTAGAGTACGCTATAACGTTAAAACGAAAAAGTACTAGAAAAATAGCATGTTAAACGCAACCGCTACGCGCCGTTACACTTGTCAGTAATCGCTGCTTCAATATTAAACTATACTGTATTGGCTAGCCGGCTATAGTAAGCTTGATGAAGCCTCTCAATGGGTATTCCCAATTACTTAAGCCCACACAAAAAGCTTCAAGTAAACAACATAAAGTGAATCTGAATAAAACGCTGTGATTCGTCTCATAGAAATCTAGAGTAAGTTTAACTGCAAGTTGTATTATAATTTATTGAAATCTAATTTGAAAATAGTAGGTATAATCCACAATTTCTACATTATTCTTAGTAGTAGTGATGGGAGACTGTTCGACTATAATAAGTATGTTTGAGTAGGCTATCTATGATCTTGTATTTTGATAACTTTTTCCTAGATGCATAAACGAGCTTCCGTATCTCTGTAAATGATATAAGTGTAAGGGCCATGGTAATCCATAGATTTTATGTGTTCTATTACATTTTGCGATTAGTAGGTACACTTCCGTTTTAAGACAATACATAGATATCGTACTGAAATATTAAAGCTTAATTTTACTCTCTCCCTCTCGTTATCTCTGTTTTGCCTGCATTTTTTTTCTTAATCCTGCTATCATCTAGTCCCTGCTATTGTTCTATTGTAGGATTTGTTTGAAAACCTACTAAATAGGTAGGCAATTAGGTAGTTAACTATCTTATGTCTCTGAAAGCACGTTCTGGATTACAAACTCTGCCGTTTACAAACACTGCGGTTAAAAGTAGGTATTTTATTAGATGATTTTTTCAATGTTTTTTTTAATTTAACAGGTAACATCGGTGGATTCTGCGGTTTTCTTTTAGGGTTTTCTCTTTTTGCCGTTGTTGAAGTGTTTTACTACTTTGTCGTTCGTTTTACAATTGTTGTTACAAACGCCTACAACATTGCTAAATAGAACTTTGTAAGAAATATAATCTTAAGTATTCTGGGTACTACTCATGCTGTACTCTTTATATTTGTTGTAGATGCACTACAAATATAAAGAGCCTATTGTAAGGCGTCTACTTATAACATAAATTGGAAAATTAATTAAACAAGCATAAAAATGTTATAGAAAAGTAATTAAGTTGAACACATTATGTAATAATGCTTATAATATTAAACTAGCTAATATATAAGAAAAACTAAACAAAAAACAAGCATTCTTATTTAGGTATCTTATTTTGTTAATAACGATCCGACAAAAGTTCACGTATTGTCTGTAACTGCTACTGCAATAAAGTGCCACAAGGACTTACACGTTATTTCGGATCCTCCCAATCTACTTTTTTTTTATGATTGAGAGCTTACTGGTGACCCGAAGGCCTTGCCAGTTTCACATGGACAGGTGGGCGAACAAGGGCTCAGCCAGAAGGGGCGGGACTTGCTCACAACTACCCGAGCGCCTCCAAGGGAGATCTAAAAACTCAAGAGTAGCTGCTTCGCGAATGAATCTACTACCGGATCGGAATCGCGACCCGCTGAGAATATCCGGCGAGAAACTCAACGGGCTCCCGATCTAATCTTCACTCACCACATATACATAGGTACATAGTGCGAATGCCGGTAGTCATGCCATAGCATCCACCNATAAAGTTTAAACAAAAGGATTTTATTATCATAGACATGAATACAAAAAAGTTAAATTAGATAAAGTTTAAACAAAAGGATTTTATTATCATAGACATGAATACAAAAAAGATGGCGCGTAACGGAAAAATGTGACGCGTAACCGAAAAATGTGACGGTAAATTTTTTTCCAACGCCGATAAAGAAGTTTCACTTCAATTAATTTGAACACATTATGTAATAATACTTATAATATTAAACTAGCTAATATATAAGAAAAACTAAACAAAAAACAAGCATTCTTATTTATCTTATTTTGTTAATAACGATCCAACAAAAGTTCACGTATTGTCTCTAACTGCTACTGCAATAAAGTGCCACAAGGACTTACACGCTATTTCGGATCCTCCCAATCTACTTTTTTTTATGATTGAGGGCTTACTGGTGACCCGAAGGCCTTGCCAGTTTCACATGGACAGGTGGGCGAACAAGGGCTCAGCCAGAAGGGGCGGTATTTGCTCACAACTACCCGAGCGCCTCCAAGGGAGATCTAAAAACTCAAGAGTAGCTGCTTCGCGAATGAATCTACTACCGGATCGGAATCGCGACCCGCTGAGAATATCCGGCGAGAAACTCAACGGGCTCCCGATCTAATCTTCACTCACCACATATACATACATAGTGCGAATGCCGGTAGTCATGCCATAGCATCCACCTCTATTTTCCTATAAAAGGTCATTATTCCAAACGCCTTAGGAGGTTTTTACATTAAGTACTGGTTATATTATAATTATACTAGTGATTGGTTGTACACTCATACCATTTTATCATCGCACATCCCCCTTCCGAAAAGTTCATCCATACTATTTAGATCTGTTGTTGTCATCGGCAGTGCGTTTCCAGAATCTTTTTTTTTCACGTACCATCCGCCTCTGGAATAAGCCCCTCCACGGTTTTTCTAGAGCTCTGTGACATATTTTGCTTCAAACAAGGGGAGTACTTGGCGGTAGACAGCGACTTGGCTGTGCCACTGGCATTGCTGACGTCTATCAGCGATGGTAACTAACCATCAGGTAAGGCTGATAAGCCACCATTATTTTACAATTAAAAGTGAAGAAACATAAAATTAGCTTAAACAATTTATATAGCTTCGCTCCTCACATTCCCGCCAAAATTATACCATAGACTATATAAAACAAATAGATGAGATAATATAGTTTAAAATGTGTACATATGTACTACGAGTATGAGCTCAAGTAATTCATAGTAGATGTTTAGATCATCGTACGTAGTGGAACAAATTTCACAATATATAAATATTTTACTATAATTAACTATAGCAGCATTAAAAAATGCGCTTTCGGTATGTGTCAAAAGTGTCAAACCGATTCTCAAACTGTCAATATTGGACAAAGGTTTCGAGACGCAATTTTGTATTTTTACGTAAAATGTCGGCAAATTCGCCTCCCGGAAAAAGTGGCGGTCAGTTATTTATAGTACACTTAAGCTAATTCCAATGTGCATTTGTGTATTAAGTGGCAATATTTTAGGTCACGAAACCGTGGATGAGTCACCGCAGAATGTCCCGCCAACAACTTCGATGGAAAGCCTCAGAAATATGTTTCGCGATCTCGACGTGGATGACGTTCGAATGTACTTGGCCTTAAAACTCGGACTCTTCAGCCCTCAGGATCTTGAACCGGCAGAACCACCAGAAAAAGTTTTGGATGAGGTCAGCCTTGATGGTATTGTCAGGTGGATCAAGAGCGATAGGTGCAAGAAGATCATAACACTTTCAGGAGCTGGTATTTCTACCTGTTAGTTATACTTTTTACTATTTAAAAAATGTCAATTGAATTTCCATTTATCAATAATGAGTTTAAAAACGGGAGCTTACTCCGATGATAGAAGTAAGTCTGTATTATTATCAAAATACAATCCAAAATTTATTTAACAAAAATAAAATTTTATCTTACATTCAATGAGTTGATTACATAAAAGATAAAACATGATATGTTTGTCATCTTTTAATCGATGTAACAGAACATAATAAATTTTTGAAAGAGTTAAATAATTAAAAAAATTCATTCAGGAACACTCAGAACAAACTTATTTATACATAAATAGTTAAAATATATTTTCTTTAGTTTATCAGTTCATAAATATAATTGAAACTACTATTACAGTTTTAAGTGTAGATATATTTTTTACAAAAAAATGGCCAGTTGTTAACACAATATTTGATTATAGATGAATAACACTTGAATTGTCAGAGAGAACATGAAAACCACAAACTATTCAAAATGTCAGAAATAATGACAAAAGATCAGGGTTGTCATAACATTTAAAATATTAGAAGAATTTAAAACCTTTCTAGCATACATTTTGGAGAACATAACTTTTTAATGAATAAAATAAAGGGTCAACTTCATTAAATCCACTGAAACATACTAAAATTTATATATATAATTGAATTGTTGTCCATTAGTCTTGTTAAAGCTCTAGAACGGTGGGTCGATTTGGCTAATGTTGGTCTTGAATTATTTGTGGAAGTCCAGAGAAGGTTTAAAAGGTAGATAAATATGAAAATGCTCAGAATTAAATAAAAATAATAATGTTGTTTTTCCTTTGTTGTGTTTATTTTATACAAAAGTTTAGGTCTTTTATTTATCTATTGAGGCACTACGAAGTCTGCCGGGTCAGCTAGTTAAATATAAATTTCAAAGGTGGGTTTAAATTGTGATTGGTGTGGATACATCCATGCCAGCCTCACTGGTGAAACAGGCAAGAAATTAACACAAGACTTATTAGCTTGGGCAGCATCACAAACTAAAAAAAAATTTGAGAATTCAAAAAAAATTAATATGGCATTTCTATGATTCGTAAGACAAAGAAAAATACAAAACAGAATGAAACAAAAGAAAAAAATGATCCCAAAACACAGTCAATAAGTCATATTCAATTATAAAGTTTCCAAAAAGAAAATTACAGACACACAATTAAACACAATTACAAATTACTAACAATTGATAATCAATTTTTTTTTCTTCAGCTGCTGGAATTCCAGACTTCCGTAGTCCCGAAACAGGATTATATCATAACTTACAAAAGTACGAACTACCTCAACCACAGGCGATATTCGAAATAAATTTCTTCAGGCAAAATCCCAAACCTTTCTTCACATTAGCAAAGGAATTATTTCCAGGAAGCTTTAAGCCTACAATTTCACATTATTTCATAAGACTTCTACATGAGAAAGGTATGTTTATTTTTCGGTGTATAGTCTGTCTTACTACTTGGTGCTATAAGTGCTGTTGTTACTGGAGCTTTTAGACATCACAAACTGAAGGCAGCCACGCCCTTTGAGACAATAGGGCTATGTCTTAATTGTGCATTGCTGTCCCTAAAATGCATTACTACTTTGCTGCTGACATACACATGGCGGTGGTACCTACCCATGTATTCCTTGTACACAAGCTTTCACTGGGCATCCTATTCTGAACGCTACACAAGTTCAGCTATCCATAATTAATTTGTAGATTAAATTAACACATTGAATGCTTTTCGACTGACCGGTGGGCCTAACGTACAATACCAATGGGGCCACGACAAAATCAAGGAATGAGTAATTTTTATGAACTTCATTTATAAAATGCGATAATTTGCAAGGAAGATAGAAATTAGCGACATTTACTATCTAGTTTTTGAGATATTTTAAAAGGGTATAACATTGATAAAAACTGCCATTTCTGCCCTGAAGCAGTAATGCGTTTCGGTTTGAAGGGTGGGGCAGCCGTTGTAACTATACTGATACCTTAGAACTTATATCTCAAGGTGAGTGGCGTATTTACATGGTAGATGTTTGTGGGCTCCAGTAACCACTTAACACCAGGTGGGCTGTGAGCTCGACCACCCATCTAAGCAACAAAAAAAAGATCATAACATCAATGAAAATAATTTTTTACAATATTACTTTCTATTCACCAGGGCTCTTATTACGTCATTATACACAAAACATTGACACATTAGAGAGAGGAGCGGGAATTCCCGAAGAAAAATTAGTCGAAGCACACGGAACGTTCTACACTTCACATTGTCTGGATTGCCGCAAGGAATACCCACTGGAGTTTGTCAAAGGTGTTTTTTATGACTAATTGATGAAATATGTATGAATCCAACACAAAAGACGACCTGGTCATGCTTAGATGTGACGTTATATGAGTAAGAAAAATCGACTATGTCAAAACTATTCATGTGCCACCTATTATATGCTGATGGTAGTGTGATAAAACAACCGTCCTTGGAGCCCTAACAACTGTTTCATCGCAATTGGACGTCATCGGAATTAAATAGTAGAGCTAGCACCAACTGCTACGTAATAAATTGATGTGACCCTTCACTGTGAAAAAAATATGTGTAAAACTCCATTAAATTTATTAGCAATGATTTTTATATCCTTTGCTCCAGTGCAAAAGAAAAGAACATCTGTGCAATAAAGCTTACTATAAAGTCAATGATTATCTAGAAGATTGCACAAAGTGGGAATGAGTTGCTCGCTCCGGGCATTTCAATATTGTAGTAATTGTTACGTTATAATACTCATTGTAAAAAACTCATATTTAAAAAAAATAATGTAATATTAAAAAATTTATAAATAATAATTTATTAAAAAAAAAAAAAAAAACATGCCCGCTGAGTTTCTTGCCAATTCTTCTCAGGACGGAGGCTAGTTCTTGTGAATTGGCGGTAGTTCTTTTGACGTTCAACAAGTATGTACTTTCATTTATGTTGAATAAAAATTTTTTGATTTGATTTGATTTGATTTGATTTGATTTGATTTGATTTGATTTGATTTGATTTGCTTCAGTGGTAGTAAAACTTAATATCATTATGTTGTGTTGTAAAATACATAGAATAGAACTTGTACGTGGTTGAATTCAATAAATTTTTCAGAAAGGATATTTGCTGACCAGATCCCAATCTGCACTGAATGCCCTGGTGTTGTGAAGCCTGATATTGTGTTCTTCGGTGAGAGTCTGCCGGAGAGGTTCCAGATGTGTCTAGAGGAGGACTTCAAGCAATGTGACATGCTCATTATTATGGGATCTTCACTTGAAGTGCAACCATTTGCATCACTTATAGATATGTGAGGTTCTAATATTTATTAATCTAAAATTCACTTAGTTTTTCAAGAAAACCTTAACAACTGAGTCGTCTATTATCAAAGGTGGCAATCTGTGCATTTGGACAAAAAAATGTTATTGATATGTCAATACAGATTGATTTGAATATAATCGTCTCCTTCAAAGAATATGGCTCAAAACCTGCATTAAATAAAGGTTAATACTTAACCTGTTATTTATCTAAGATGTCGTTCAGAAGAGTTTTGTGACTGCCAATGGAATACAAAGTCAATAATTCGTTTTTCTGATTTACCAATAATTGTCCAAAAGTCACATTGCCGGCTTTGATAATAGTCGACTCAACTGTTGTAAATTGTTTGAAATATACAAAAATAAAAGTAAATTTTAATAAAATTAGAGATTTCGTTTAGTTGTTTTTACCATCATCTTTATGTCCAGGGTCCCAGATTCGTGTCCTCGACTTCTGATAAACCGTGAGAAGGCCGGCGTGAGACCACCTATATTGAGAATAAGAGGATTAATGTGTGGAGGCTTACAGTTAGACGAAGGTTCCTATAGAGATGTGGCGAGGCTAGGGGATTGTGATGAAGGCTGCCAGGACTTGGCAGACAGACTGGGATGGGGGGTGAGTACTAAAGTTCCCACATATAGACACCGTTTTTTGTTTATTGCCCTTGGTGGCAGACGGCCCACCTGATGGTGAGTGGTTACCGTCGCCCATGGACTTCAGCAATGCCAGAGGCAGAGTCAAGCCGCTGCCTACCGTTAAGTACTCTCCACGAGCCTCGTTTGAAGAAGGATATGTCATAGCGCTCGGGAAACACCGTGGAGGGGGTCTCATTCCAAAGCCAGATGGTACGTGGCAAAAAAGATCTCTGGAAACGCAATGTGGATGAACTCTACTCCGGTGAAAAGTTAGGATAACAAAAATCTAATACAATTTTATTATCTACTTTACCCTTACATCCTGAAAAACAGTGCCATTTGCGATGAATGTATATTTTTTAATAAATAAAAAATTTAACAATGCTGTGGTGACTCATTTATTTATTTATTTATTTATTACACTTCATGTAAAATTTATATTGGCGGACTTAATGCCTAAGGCATTCTCTACCAGTCAACCAAAGGTAGTGCAGGGTAAATAGTGGTAGGTGCAATGAATTTTATATTAAGTTACGAGTACATACACAAAAATCCGCTACTTGGGCCACTGCCTTACAATTCGACAAAATCGCTATCGCTTGTGATTTTAGGCCATCGTCCATTACTGTTGTTCAAAACACGTTCTGAGATACTTGGGCAATGGAAACTGCGGGCAGTACATATTCATACTCACTGTGTTACCCATCGTTCGTGTCAGTGCCTACCCAATACAGTTAGTGAAGCAGTACTACTACTGCTCCTATAATGCTAACAAATTAACAATGATATTTTCGCCTAGGATGAACTCCGAGCATTAGTAGCCCGTGAACATGAACGCTTGGACCAAGAACTATTGACTGCGTCTCCCCATGCCCCGGTACTGATACCTTCAGAAGCAAACGCGGGACCCAGTGCCTCGGAATGAGTCAAACAATTAAACAATTTGATTAACCTCGAATTTAATTGTACCTCGGATGACCTGAATGAAGCGAAGAAAAGCCATGATGTGATTCAAATAAAAATATTGGAAAATTAATAAAAATTTACAGATATGTAAATCGAACTACAAGCACCTTCTTGTTCTATTTAATAATAATTTAAAAAGGTACTTAGTAAGAAATACTCAATTTAATATTCGCTCTATTTTCATGCGGTTAATACAGATAAAATTCTCTCTGGGTCTCCGGTTTCTATTCGATTTTCTAAGAAGTACGCAAACAATATACTCATCAATTTTTGTATATAGCAACATTCAATTATTTATTGGTAAACTGAAAAACACTTCAAGTACCTAATTAATCAATAAATAATATTCAGAAACAAATCGCACAGAATCACCTGCCTCCAAACTAACAATCTCTGTACTACGAGAACCCTAAACCTGACATGATATACATACGCAAAAATATTCGTTTAAATACATAAATATAATAATAATCCTTGAAGACTCAGCCAAAAAAAAAACAAATTATTCGTCATACGTTTGAATGTAGGAATCGAACCTGCAACCTTGAAACAATTTACCAGAGTCGCTAACCACTGCCATCGTGTCAGTCATAAAATTAGAGTATTGAAGCGGTTTGTTGTAGAATGAATTTTTAACGATTGGTCTTCGTTCGATGAGTACCACCGCCATTTGTGCTTTTTTAAAGTCCATAAATACATATTACAGCAAGAAGTGTTTTGTGATACAAATTCTCTACAAAGTGCACGTCTGTGTGCTTAGTTTTGAGTTGTTTCAAATTTGTATGGAGTTGGAACGTTTGTCAACGTTTGCCGCTAGGGGCGCTGTTCCAACTCCATACAAATTTGAATTAACTTTTACGTTATCGAGAACGTTATAAAACTCGCACTAAGCAAGCACACTGAATCGTGATTAGCGGATGTTGGTTGTAATTGAAAAAAATTATTGTGTGTAAATTTTTAATAATTAAATATTATGACCATAATTTTTTAGAGATTGAAGAATGAATTCCGATCGATACTGATGATGAATATATTTTTTTCAAATTTAAAGTTTAAGGAATTTGTTCAACACAAAATATACGACCATGATACGTTGTCAGCTTCTGTATTTTAGGAATAGATGTTGTAAGTCGATATTGCCTCGACACTACGTCATTCAACATCAATCGTCAATTTCGTTTTTGTATTTTTTATTTATTTATTGTAACTCTTTAATTTAATAATTGTGATGGTATGAGTACTTGTTTCTTATATTCCTATTGTCCATGGTGTTTTTTTTTTTAATTTATAAATTATTGCATTTATTATCTTGTGATCGTCAGTTTATATGTATTAATTATTCAAAACAGACAAGCGTTTTTTTTAATGAAAATGAAAAACAAAATAATGTTAACATGTCTTATGATGCAGATGTGAGTTATATATTTAAATGGTAATTTAAAATAGTTGTTGAAGATAAAGTTGATAATGTGTAATGCAAAGCAATAAAATTTAAATAGCGTAGCTTATAGCTATTCCAATATGGCTCGCAAAAAATGTTGCCTTCATTAATTTGAAAGAATTTATAACATTCTGATTGTCGGGCGCGTTTCTATTCCGTTTGATTTATCTAAGCTTTGTTACCTAATAACAACACTACAGACAAGATGATGAAGTTCACCTTCTAGTGGAGATGGTGAAGTTCACCTTCTAGTGAAGATGGCGAAGTTCACCTCCTTGAAGTTTGATTTCGTATACAATTGTACTACTGGGTGCCCGCCTCACTCCTACCCGCGATTGTAAAATTGAGATCGCCAAGTCAAGACAGGTCTAGTGCAGGCGTATAGTTAGGTAATAACAGGAAGATATTACACGGAATAGGTTGGACGTAGGTTGAGCTGGGCTGAGGACCAGAGGCTCTATTAACAAATACTACGTAATTAATCAATAGGTCAACGCTTTAGTTTTTTTTTTTTTCAATTGTGACTGTTGAATTCTAGCAAATTTACGAATAACAGGGTATATATGAATAGCTATTGGTAACAAAATTCAGATAAATTAAGAATAGGATAGACGATTTTTAGAGCACTAGCCTTGACAAAAACGTATTTATTGTAAAGAATGAAATAAAAGCAATAATATTTATAAGGTATTATGTATGTATCAAAAATAATGTTATTTTCTCGGAATAATGAATTAATGTATATATTTAGACGGAAATAAAACTGATTGTTGAAAATTGAATATAACAAATTTTAAGCCTGTATTTTGTGAAAAAATAAAAATAATAAAAATGTAAAAATAGTTTTATTTGACACTGGTTCTCTTTAAATTACATACCTACTTATTTACAGTTGATCCTGGAATTAATGCTTAAATACAATGAATGAATGGGTATTACATAAAATGCGTTTAATGTTGTGAAAAGAAATACTAGATAGTTTTATATATAAAGTCGAAACAGTGATAATTTAATGAATGAAATGGTTTTATTTATAATAGTTATCGCAGCTACATATTATTATATGGTCTTATTCAGATTTATTGTGAACTAATGAAAAGCTGTCAAAACAATTTTTTTTACTATTCACGTGCTGTCGGTCATATGTTGCTGGTACTGCAACAAACCTTTTCTAGATTGCCAATATTAATTACAAAGTTTCATCACAATCGCATGAATGGTTTAGGAATTCATAGAGAACAAACATTACATTTTATTTATATTAATAGTTATAAACATAAAATTTATAAATTGGATTTATTTTATTGGACCTTTATAATTTTTTGAAAAATTATAAATGTCCAATAAGTCGCGATGAATAAGTCCGTAAGTTATTATTGTATTAACAAAATAAAACAATTCACACATCACTACACTACCAACAAAATGTTCTAAGCTCATTCACACAAATTGATGTTGCCATTTAAATGAGTTAAAATAATGTACCAAATTATATAAATTAATTAAGAGTGTATGTTCCAGTATACTTATTTTTCCATCATATTTTTTTTTGGATTTAGAGCCATTTTCTTCATTTTGAGTGGTTATATATATGTACATTCATTGTTTCTTTTCTAGTTTTTATTTTATTTTTTTCTTTGTAAACATACACTACTACGTTGTTTAAAATAATATTTAAGGTTGATGGCAGTGATGATAGCACCTTAATTAAATTATTATTCCTTAGCATCAGTGATGCCTTCAGCGCTAATCGCAAACATAGCTTCTGTTTCGGGTAAGCACGGACTATCGTATATTTTACACACGCGATTATCACCTCTACCCTTCCGTAAATAGAGTCTAGTTGTGGACGCGTGCGCTATGATATGACCTCCGATTGGTTTCTTGGTATCAGCATTGAAAACTCCTACAGAATCCACTTGAGCGACCACTTGGTTTGTTATGATTACTGCTACACCAAACTGGAATGACAGATTTTAAACTTTATTGGTAACTCATCAAAATATATGTACATGAAATATAATATACACACTGCCTCTCAAAATATAACACAATCTAACTTTTACGTTTATAACATAATAGGATTAAAATTCACTTGAAAATAAATACCGACTGGGATTTGAATTCGAAATGATTATTCAACTGTTTCAATAGATAGAAATACTTATAAAGAAAATCCAAATTGTTCACAATACGATTTTAATTATGTAAACACTTTACTAAATTACACTTGTATTTTCTGAAATAATTAATATAGGAAACTATGTGGAATATTTACTTACCTCATCAGCCAATCTGAGCAACATTCTCATGAAACGACCCAGATGTAGTTGTCTAGAATTCAGTTCCCCTCGTCCAGAATAGTCTGTCCTGTATAGAGCGGTTGCACTATCAACTATAATTAAGGAATATCTGAAAATTGTATGCACGTAAGATAAATTTTTAATGCGTAATAAATAAATTAATTGCTAATCAAATTATTTAATATATACATAGTATAAAAATAATTCACAAGTAAAAACAATAAAAAATTTATAACAAATTCAGAAAAACAATTAAATAGATCTATTATAAAATAATTTACCTTGACTCTGCCATCATGGCGCAAGCTTGCACTAGCAATTGGGTCTGATGGTCTGTGTTATAAGCTCTTGCATATGCAACATTGTCCAAGACCGCCGCACCTTCCATACCGTATCGCTGTGCAACGGCCAGCAGTCTTTCCGGTCTAAATGTTCCTTCTGTATCGATGTACATGCATTTACCCTCTCCACCAGATTGTTCAATGGGTAGCTGGGAAAATTTAATAAGGCCAAGGCAATTGGTTTTCAGTAATTTAAAATTACCAATATGGGATTTCATATTTTAAAAAATAATGAAATTATTAGATATTTTACATTTTACAATACATAGAAGCGACATTGTTCATTGAACAATTTTTTCTCCATTTTTTTGGCTGCCACTGAGAAATTACACCTGCTGGGTGGAAGATCTTCCCTTTGTTGTTAACCTCTAAACATTCTTTACATCAAAATATGACCTACAGTTCTAATATTTTAAATGAACATTTATGACTATTATTATTAATTACCTATATTATACATTCATTATCAACATCATTCTCCTGCCCTACTCCCAGTAACCTGGGATTGGCGCAATATGTTTTCTCCTACCATACCTCTATCATACACCATTTCTTCGCTCACTTCTGCTCTTATATGAAGTCACTTACACATATCGTCTTTTATGCAATATTACACATTATCACATATCATTATAGTATACATTATTAATATTTATTATTATATACTTTTATTGCAAATTGGTTTAATTCAATTGTACCTGGCAGGTGACTGCTAATGTGTGACATAATTGGGTTTTGCCAGTACGGAATTCACCAAATATTTCAGTAATAGAACCAGTTTCTATACCACCTCCCAGTAATCTGTCTAATTCCTTTGAACCAGTAGTAAGTTGTATTATTTCAGCCCTGGAAAAATTCAAACAATACTCAATGTAGATTTGGTTTAATTAAAAAAATCTAATACAAGTATTACCTGCAGTTATTTTCTGTGTCAAGAATATGAATATACATTACTAGTTCGATACTGGGATTTGAGCTTTGTCCCTTATGTCAAGTCCAATGTTGTGTCATTATAGCCTAAGGTAGAGAAATAGACAACAATTTATGTAACAAAGACGGTGTACAAATCCTGCAGGCAGGTACTAATTTTTTTGCTTTTTACATACTTAGCATGTGTTAAATGTTTCCCACAACTTTGTACTAACCTTAGCCATATTGGTGTTTCATTAATTAATAATAAAAAATATAAATAAATAATTTTAAAGGTACCTACCTCTTTTGATGAAACTCAGTAGCTGTTGTAAATCCCATTGGCACCAATTTAGATGCTTCAGCTAATATTTTATCTGCCTTCGCTTCAGATATCCCTTTAATTGTGATTAGCCATTTTTTTGGAGCATAGGCAACAGATTCAACAGTATGATATCCCGCTTCCTCAAGCTTTTTTATATCTCCTGATGTGATGCCATTGCCCTAAAATAAATTATTCCATATTTTTATTATTTAACAAACAAATTATCACAATCCAAATTTAGATATATATATGATGTACACAATGTTGCAATGAAGTAAGGTTGAACGATTAAGTAGCATCAAATGCAATACAACTGAGAATTTGACTTAATATGAGCATAGACTCATGTTGTTCTTACAGAACGTTTTTGTGTCTTCTGGAGATCTATTTGAAAATTCTTAGAGCAGATAAACTTGACCCTCTTTTCTCCTTGATTTTTTTTTCTTAAGAGAGCTTTTACTTGGAATGTAGATATCTTACTCTTCAATGCAGGAATATGATTTACTTAAGCATAAATAGATAGGACTATGGTACCAACTTATTATACCTAAGCTCAATACTCTTGAAACCAAATGAAGAAATATAAGAATCACACAGAGGAATTAGTTACATGCTGGAAAAACCGAGTTATGATCATTTCCACTTAAGTAATTTATCTCATATTGTGTAATAAAGTATGAATAGATAAATAATGGGAAATTGATGGCAGTAGCCAGACTATATATTTTCTTAGGAGCACTTTATTATCATCCAATATGTTTATTTATTTATTTCATATACACATTAAAAACAAATATAGTTAAGAGAATGGAATAAATTAGAATTTATCTACAGTATAAGTTGCGCATTATCTCCAATTATGTCAGTTCAATCCAATAATATTTGTAAGTAAGCAAGTTATAGCTTGTCACATGACGTCACCTCTAATTTACTGATCAGCTGTGGCCCGCATTCTTCAGCATCTTCATCCAAAGAAGTCGTAGTTGCTGAAGCAGTGGTATTCATAATTGTCCGTGGCTTTCAAACAATTACCGGCTCATTTAAAAATATTCAAACTTCAGTTGTTTATAAATAACTTTACAAGGTTAGGTGTCTGGAGTACACGATTTAGATTATAAAATAATTTTAATTTAATTTTTTTCTATTGTTTGTTAGAGCAAACTTGTAATACGTAACATGCGTGTTAAAATTTCAAATATTCACTATTTTTATGTTTAAAGTCGACACTGAAGACATCTGCTTAATTTTTTTTAAGTGATTTTATGACCTGGTAACTAAAACCTTTAAGTCATGTCTTAATTTAGTTTATATTCATAATTTTATGAAAAATGATAATATGGAGTGAAATAAAATGAAATGAAGATGATTAATTTGGGACATGAATCAACTAGGATGAAATTAAATGATGTGATATGGGATGAAATATAATCTCAGAAAAATGGTGGTCATTTACTGAGATTTTTTCAGTGGACTTTTTGGAGGACCCCGATAAGTTACGTCCAGTGGCTTTGTTTCATTTTCCCACATTTGTTCACTTTTACAGATATTAAACAGTTAATAAACCACTGCTATTACACATTTAAACCTGAAGAAACACTAAATAGACAAAATGAAACAAATCACTATTCTATTCTATCTCTTAGGTTTATGGCGTTTCCTTTTAGATTTCGCCAACGTCAAGTGTATTTAATACTCTGCTTTCTATAGCGGGCTTCGTGAACGAGCAAGGTCACAGATATTCACTAAGAATTAAGTGAGTAGCTAAGAATGTATGATGACAGGATCTCTGTTGATTTACCTAAAACAATATACATACAATATACCTAGTCAGGTCATAAATTCTGTCACATGTTTAATGTAAAATAATTGAAACAAGTTTATTCATTATGGAACCATTCATATACCAAAATGAACATAACAAAACATAGATTCTTATGACACTAAAGTTTATTCAAAATGACCTCCGTGATTTTGAATACAGGCCTTCAATCTGCGCGGCCAGTCGTCTATCGCAGCACGAACGAGGTCCATGTCAATATCGGCGGCTACCTTAATCAAGGATGTCTTGAGTGACTCCAAATTGGGATGANAATATTTGCTATGTGTATGTGCTATAATTCTCATGTTGTATTTGTTATTTTAGTTATGTGTTCTACACACACTTATCACTTTTTATTAATATTCTCATTATCCTCTCGCAGGTCTGCTGGAAGAGATTTCTCAAAGAAATAAGCAGTGCCTTTGTACATAATTTTCCTATTACTCTGTACTGTGTCTTGTTTTCTGTGTGTACATAAATAAAATGAATAAATAAAAATTTAAGCAATAACATACATATATACCTACATAGGTATGCTACATATGTATGTATGTATGTATTGTTTATTGTATTTTATAATAACATACATAGATGCATACATAGGTAGCACACCTATGTAAGTATGTATGTATGTTATTGCTTGGTAAAACTAAATTATAAAAAGCTATTTTCTGTACGCAGCGGTTTAGCTGTGCCCCTTTCATTCCCTATGCCCATGACCCGTAGGCCCGTTGGTCTGAGTTCAGCAGCAATATTTTTTTATGTGAACATTAAAGTGTGATTTCACTATTATCATTTGTGTTTATGGTCATAGGCATAAAATAGCATGCGGGTCCATTTGTAATATTTTCCAAGAACTTAACACCGTTGCGGTTAGTATTCTTAAAGATCAGTTCCAACTAGAAGAAAACCATTCTTTGAAATAGATTTTAGATTAATTTTTATTAAATTGTAATATTGGTTTGGTTTTTTCACCCGACAACAGAAGGACGGGGGTAATAATTGTAAAATTTAAACTTTAATTTAAAGTTGGTGTGTATTTCTTTCTTATCACATACATTGCCAAGCCCCCGACGGGGGTGCTCGGCTGTGAGACCGGTGGTGAGGTGATACAAGCTGGCCACACGCCAAGGTGTCTTTCAAGACGACGTCTTTCGGATCATCTCAAGGATGAAATACCGCCCTAACATCAGTACTAGTACAGGCGAAGGCAGACTTTCGGCGCACTCTATGTGGTATAGTAGGTTTCGTCTAGCCGGAATGCTGGAGATCGATGGGCCCTTGGGCAGCTCGCTGCAGTACTTCGCGCGACTTTCTCATGGCGTAGTCTCCTAGGAGGAAATGGAATGGAAAAGGAAGAGGACCTCGGTCTTTTCTTCTCCGTCTTCTTCTCTGGAAGCGCCGGAGTCTGACATAACCCGGTCTGCTACCCCCTTCGACCGGGTATTAATAAACGGATGCTTCAGAGTAAAAAAGGATGTCCCTTAAAAAAAAAATTAAAATTTTAAGCTTCGAATTAACCCGTTTTCAGTATTTATTAGACTGCAGGATCTGAAGGGAGGTTCGGCGTTCATTAACGAGGTATCAGGTGCAAATGCTGCTGACATTAAGCCGGTCATTGATCTTTATTCATTGGCCCCCGCTTGGAAACTCCTGTCTAGACTCCGCTGGATAAGTTTCAGGTCAAATAAATATAATATTTTGTGTAAAAGTACTCATAGCTCTATCATTGATTTTTGGACGTAGATAAAATAAATTTGCGTATAGTTTTAATAAAATCTAATAAACAGAATCTTCATATATAGTTTCGACCAAGAATTGCACCAATTCTCGTGGGTGTCGAAATGCCGACTAAGTGATTCCTTGGAGAACGCGTGAAAGTATTATCCGAGAAACATACCACTGTACTGCAGTCTCCAATCCGTATCTAGTGGTGCTAGGGCGTATTTTGCCTGCATAAGATAGGCACTAACTACCATTTTGCCTATTTTTGCGCGAAGCTATCATGCGTTTCACCGCACCCGTTTTATTATAAAATCGAGACATCTAACTCATTTAGGGCAACGAAAAAGTCAGAATATATCTAGAACGTATACTATGCTTAGACAAGATTATCTAGTAACATGAATCCAATGAAATAACTGCAAAATTCTGAAATTTAAAATTTTAAAATCATCATATTACCTCACTCAGACTCAGACGTATGAATTGAAAGCGTAGTAGTACTTTATAAATTTCGAAGTCCAGAGCCGCACTCTCCTTTCTATAAATGAATATAAAGCCCTTTGGTCACGAGTTCTTGTATTCGACCGTTCTGTTGGGATATCAAAAAAAGCACTGTAGTAATAATTCGCTAAAAAAATTGATGCATAATTCCAAACAGGAAGTGACATAAACGTGATATCCGGAGTAAGCCCCACAATAGTTTTGTCGCAAAACGAATCGGAAGTTACACTAAAGGCTTCAATAAACTTTAGACGACAGTATAAAAACAGCATTTCGAAAGAACAAGCCTGTAATAATTCATGTCCTTTTTTTTTCCTACCTTGCTGATAGCCTTGAGAGGCTATTTCAGCTTCGCCCTAACGTTTGTAGGTGAGCTCACGGGGCTCAAACCTGACTACGATGCTAACACGAACCCTAGCAAGAGCCGTGCTTCGCAGAATCTACCACCGGATCGGAAACGCGACCCACTGAGAAGATCCGGCGAGAAACTCAGTGGGCTGTGTCTGAGAGTTAATTTGCTCGTCGAGCCCTTCGTCGCAAACGACGGGTTCGACGAGAACGGTGACCGGTGCTTGAAGTACCTAAAAGCACCGTTAGTGGATCGGGAGGATCCGAGATGACGTGTTTTGGGCGACGTCGACTGCTTTCCATTCTGTCCGCAGGATCGGGAATGTAGTTAGCGGCGGCCACGATGAGAGGGTTCTCGTGTCGTGCCGCTTTATTGAAGTGGATTTTTCTGTGCAATTATATCTATTTCAAAGGTATAGGCTAAAGAGGGAAACTTATTTAAATGCAGTTTTTAAGTAAGATATTGGAAAAGTGGGGGTCGAAAACGTTGTCAAAAAGAGACCAGTTTCTGGCTTTGATGCTTGTTCATTTGATAAATATAAAAAGTGCCTTCGAAAGTTTACCGTAGACTATTAAGCATTTTTTAAACCGAGTAGACGTGAACCGCAGCTTGACCGATGTTAAATTAGTAACAAACAAAAAAAAACATTGTGTCTCTCTCATATCTACCAGTTGATTATAATCCATTGATACAATTGAAAATTCATTGGCACGTAAAATTAAAACCAGCAAACCAAATGTCGTGTTTCTTATAACATGTATACCTGGTGTTGGTTCATAGTTGGGTTATGTCGCTTACCAAGTTCAAAAGTATCTTGTGCGTTGATACAGATTATAAATACTGTCAACAAATCGACTAATAACTTATAAACATAACGAGCCCTTTAGCTCTTCTGACACTTCTCTGTGCTTAGTGCGAGTTTTTTACAACAACAACAACTGATTCCCTTCGATTGGCGCTAGGGGCGCTGTTCTAACTTCGTACTTGAGTTAACTTTTACGCGATCGAGAACGTTAAAAAACTCGCTGCAAACAAACTGTATGTTGCTTATGTTTAGCAATCGAATATCGACAAAGTCAGAATCAAATTCAATGGGTTTCATTTCATAATGTATTCTAAGTCCTTCTTCGAGCGATGTTGACTCAGTCCAACTAATTAAATTTCAAATTAAAAACAATTGTCGTTCCATTAAATAATGAAAAATAAATAAACATTTATTTCATAACCATGATAAGGAAAAAATAGATAATAATTTATTTTATAACAATGATAATGAAAAATAAATAAACATTTATTTTTCATTATATCGAAAGCACAAAAAATTTTAAAATTGTATCTCCCGAGAACTCATTAATGGAACAGATATTAAAACCAACAAGATCTAAAGACATCTTAAAATACGATCCAATATAATACCTCAATATAATGTGTCCTAAAGATTTATGAATGTAATTTCCAGAGTTTTAAGCGTTATTTTTTATGTGCCTGAGATTTGTTTATTTGTCGATCGAATCCCAATGATCTCCTAAATACTTGTGAAACAATTTTTCTGACAACCACATATGTACAAGAAAAAAGAAAAAAAAATAGTTTCAAAAAGCAATCAAGACT